TCTTTATTTGCACACAGAGCAAAAGGAACAATCAAATACTCATTTTGTAGGACTTGGAGACAGGCTTCAGGACAGAGAGAACTGGCCTGAAGAGAAGACGCTCGGGGCAGAGAGGCCCAAGGCAGCTGCAAGCTGAGGAAACGAAGCCCAGGGACACATTCTCTGTGACGGACGAGGGAGACCAGCCTTTCCCAGGTGATGCCTCGCTCAACCACGCTTGTTCTAGAAGGAACCTGGCAGGTGGGGCACCAAGAGTTCAGAGTTAGTGGGAACCCAGAGCAAAACATAACCATGGAAACGTGAATGCCCACAGAGCATCTGGAACGACTGAGGAGAAACAGCTTCCCCACGATATGCGAGAGAGGAGTGCAAGCCATTTTATTTAACTATGAAAGCAACGTGGAGCCTCAGGGTTCAGAGGCACTGGGAGACATTCAGCTGAGTAACACCTGCTGTGTCTTAAAATCATCCTGTAGCCTGAACTACATCACTGGCCAGTCCGATCCGAGCATTCACCTGCCACGTGCCTCCTGTCCTTTCATGTGAAGTTATGATGATCGAGCCTCCTGCACGGTTTTGTTACAGAGAAAATGAGTGTCACTGGCCACGTAGGGAGTTATCAAGTCAGACAGTGATGGAACGAACACGGAATTCATCCACAAACACGCAACCACGCAGAAGCAAGCAAAGCAACAGTCTCAGCAAAAGCTCAGCTGTGACGCAGGATTGCAGATGGTCATTCATGATCACAGAGTAAGTGTTTACTTTTAAACATAAACATTAAGATATTTTGTCAAAATGTTACAAACCCAAAATGAAACAGGTGAAAAATAGAGCTCATCACCCAGCTACGAACCAGCATTAAAGGGTGTTTCTGGTGCTTCTGGCCCCACCAGAATGCAAGTTGGAGATGAAATCAGTGAAGTTTTGTAGATTCTCACAGTTCACCCATAAGCCTCCAGTGAAGGGGCAGACAACTGGGTCATTGTCAGAAGAATGAGATCAAGCATCCAGTGCATTGTAGGTGCCACCCGACCTCCATAGCCTCCTGGTCCTTATCTGCAAAACGGCAACACTGATCTTTCACCAAGAGTTGTCGTCAGGAGTAAATGAGCTGGTGTACGTCAAAGTGTCCAGCATCACGCAGTAACACAGTCGAGGCTCAGTAAACGTGCTTTCCAATGCACTTTCTATGGGAGTCATGTTATTTTGGTTAACCACCTTAGATTCTACTTCCATACACTTGGGAATTCAATCAGTACTCATCCGTCTTTCTGATTTAGGAAAAAATGAGTTGTTCAAGAAAAAAAAATCATAGGAGTCATTAGGCCCTTTGTGCTGCGATGTCTAATGATAGAACATTTAGATGTTCGCTCAATCCTGTCTGAGGAACTTCTCAGCAGAGAGTGTATCACCTCATGAAGCAAGCCGGCCTATCGCCAACACTTGAGCCCATCAAAGACATGAGAGAGGGTACTGGAGTTTTCTCACCCTCTTCCCGCTGTCCATGGTCCTCAATTGCTGGAAAAAACCTGGCAGCCCCTCGTTTTCCTTGTAGGTCGCAGAGCTGTCCTTGGGCTCAGGCCGCCTGTCGTTAGGAGACCAGAGGAGGTGAAATGAGATGTTAAAGGGCCCTTAACTTTCTCCCTAGAGTGAGCCCAGAGCAGGGGGCTCCCCACACTTTTCGCACCAGTGACAAAGGCCACATGAAACCCTTCCCCAAGTTAGGGTCACAGTCCCTTTACTGCTCTTGGACTTAGACCTTGAATGTTCCCAGTCTGAACTGTTACGCACTCCAAAATCTGAAACCCTTTCTTCCTTTGGGAGGAAGAAGAAAATATGCCACTTTCTCCAGGTCTTTTCTGTGCAGTACTGGACTCAGCTCTGCAGCCCCCACTGTCCAGCTGCTCCCCTGCCCCAGGTCAGGACCACGCCTCCCTTCCCGTGCCTCTGATGACTTACCTGCAGCTTCCTGTACACGCAGGGGCCGGGCTGTCAGGAATACACCTGGGCGATGGAGGCCTTGGGAGGAGGTAGGGAAGGGCTGCACCCAGAGACCAGAGACCACGCCCTCCGGGATGGGACACTGACGTGTCCACCACCTCGAGCATCAGGGCTGCAGACAGGAAAACCCAGTGGGACAGGAGGCTGCAGAAGCTTCCTCCATGCTCTCTGCATTCTTGGGTCAAAATCAAGATCAGAGCCTAAAGGCTATTTATGACCTTTTCAAATTTATACCATTTTTATAAGACATAACTCTTTTGTAATGGCACATTAATCGCAGACATTAGAGAGAGAGAGAAGACCAAAAGCCATCTAATTCTGGCTGCTCATCCCAATTACTCTCCAAGCTTTATTATTAGCAGGATCTGACCCGTCTTATTTTAAATTATTCCAGCACCTCACCTCATCACTATTTTTTTTGAAATTGTTCCTCATTTTAATAGCCTCACCTGCAGCAAAATTTCTAATCTGGAGTCTAAAATTTTCTTTTGCTTGGTGTCAGACCGTAATTCTTGATTACACCGTGTTGTCTTTTTTCACACAAGGGAGTATAAATGTGAGAGCCAACTTCGGGAGACAACAGCGGGGCGCCACCTGGTGGCAGGAGACCGGGACAGCATTGTCCCTTTACAAAGCAAACAGCGGTTCTTAAAAAATACTGCGTTGAGTCTATTTCTGTTTTGTATTTATGCTTTTTTTGTTGTTGTTTTTGTATAGACAGGGAAATATACACAAGATCTTATAGTAGCTCACAGAGAAAAATGTGACAGTGAATATATATATGTTCATGTATAACTGAAAAATTGTGCTCTACACTGGAATTTGACACATTGTAAAATGATTAAAAATCAATAAAAAGTGTTAAAAAAAATACGGCGTTGATCTCACTCTGCTCCTCCTCAAAATCCCCCAGGGCTCTCTGCCATCCTCAGGACGAAGTTCCATTTGCCATGCCTGGGACTCAAGGCATATTGCAAACTTGTTCCTAGTTAGTATTTCTAGCCGTGACTTCCATTATTTAATTATAAAGAAAACTTACACAAAGAATGAACCAAACTTTAATTTTCTTAATACAGTCTTTGTTGACTTCCATTACCATTTAAGAATGTGCTTTTTCTTATTATAATGTTAACTGAGTTTTAAACATGTGCAGTGAATGACAAACAGAAAAGGAAGGAAGAAGACAGGGAGGGAGGGAGGAGAAAGAGAAAGAGAAAGGAAGGAAGGAAGGTGGGGAGAAAGGATTCCAAGGACACAATCAGTTAAAAAGTTAAATCAGAGAATTACAAACTGCCAATTTACATCAGGAGAGAAATGCTTAATATGGCTAATAGTAAAATAAATGTAAGTTTTAACCCCAGTAAAATGCTACTTATTAACCTATTAAAAATTTTAAAGGACATTAATTATTTTATAGGTGTGTATGATTTCTTAGCCAACACCTTATTAGTAAGTAATCAGCTCATTTACAATGTTCCCCTCTGTGCTTCTTCTGTCCTCTCCCCGGGACACATTCTATCACTGGAAGTTCTGAAAGCAGCAACAGGTGCATCCGGTGTTCCAAGCCGCCCTCCAGAATGTCTGTGCGGCCCCCCAACGCAGGGCTGGTGGGCACAGGGGTGTTATGTGCACTGCACGATGCTTCCTGGCCAGGAAGAGTCTTGGCGGACAGGAGAGTGGGGAGGCTGAAATCTGGGAGCTTTGCTTGCCAAGCCCCAGGCCCTGTCAGAAGCCTGGTCTCTTTTCATCTCTGTTATTTTCATTAGCAGCAACGCTGAGACGTGTCGTCCTCTCTCCAAGGTCTCTGTATCCGCAACGGCTGGTGGAGCTGCGTCATCAGCTGTGCAAACTTAGCTCTCAGTGGCACAACCTCTTACTCCCACAACGTAGGGACTCAGGTTTGTATCAGGAAGTCTATGAAATTATTTTTGCATTCTAATTCAATTATGTATTTGTCTTATACACAACCAGTTGTCCCAACAACATACACTGAATCACGTATCATTATTAGAAAACTGCCTTTTACCATATATGGCTTCTTGACTATCACTGCTAAGGTATTTCATTATCAATGAAAATCTTACATCATTTTTCTTATTTTAAAAAAGTCTTGTTGTATGTGGAATCTAAAAGAAAAAAGAAAAAAAGGACACTATGAACTCATCTACAGAAACAGACTTGCAGACATAGTAAACAATCTTCTGGTTACCGGGGAAAAGGGGGTGGGAAGGGATAAATCTGAGGGTTTGAGATTTGCAAATGTTAGCCACTATATATAAAAATAGATTTTAAAAAGTTTCTTCTGTACAGGACAGGGAACTATATTCAATTTCTCATAATAACAAACAATGGAAAAGAGTCTTAAAAGAAAAAACATATATGTGTATGTATAACTGAATTGCCTTGCTGTACACCTGAAACTAGCATTGTAAATCATATACACTTCTATAAAAAGTAAAATTAAAAAAATTAAAAATTAAATTAAACTTTGGTTACACAATAAAATAAACATATCCTGGGTCAAAAAAAGTCCTAGCCATTTTAACACATTAT